AGATTGTTGGAGAATTTGAGAGTAGAGGATGAAAAGAAGACGGAAATAAGAGAGGGTTTGAGGCGTATAGGAATACTTTCCTTTAAGGTTTTATTTGCCTTCACTTCTCAAAGTTTGCTAATGAGTTTTAATGGCAAATTACCCCCAAGATACAACAAACTTTTGAACACAATATCTAACAATAATATTGAGTTCCAGAACATGAATTAAGTCTGTAAATTTTCTGGAGAATTAATAAAGACAGAGGTGTCATTTCATGAATAAATACATCCTCCTTAAACATTATAACCATTCACATAAATGTACCTTTTCAATGTAAATGTATCTTTTCATGGATTAATACACCTATTACAATAGTTATATCTATTGCTAATTGGTGTTCAGATATATATGAAAACATATCACTAATGGATGTAATGGTTCGAAACGTTTTAAATCACATAAACTCATGAAAACATTATTTTCTGCATAATTTCCACTGCAGCGGATGTTTTCTCGCTGCAGCCGCAAACAAACTCAAGACATGCAAACATTTTGGCTGCAGCTAAAATATTTCGGCTGCAGCCGGTTTGGCCGAATCAAAACAGTTTTTTCCGTTGCAGCGTTTTAAAGTCCTTTTAACACGAGTTTTTATATTTTAATACTCAAATAACTTGCGATCTTAATCCAGACATATTATAATCTCTCTAACAGTCTTCTTACCATTTTATGTGATCAATTCTAATGGTTTTTCTTGAGTGATTGTTACGAACTGTTAGTTACGCTTATAACAAATTCACTTGGTTTCGACACTTTAATATAAGTTTAACAGTGACCATTTCTTCTTTTTTGCTTTTCATTTTTTTTTTTTAATGAATAATACGTTTCCTTTTGATCTTTATAGTGAGATTTTATTCTTCCTGCGGCGAAAATCTCGACCTCATAATTTATCAGTACCAGCAAAATCTCGAGTCTCGACCTATTGAGCACGTGCTCCGTACTCGGACAACCTTCACAGCACATGCTCAAACGACCACCACATACTCGCGCGAAAGACATAAAGCTCGAAGGTCCAGGAAGCGACAAACATCATTAAGAAAAGAAACGGTCAGTAATGAAAGACATTCAATGATCAATATTTATAAACCATATTAATTCCAACATCAGTTGTAACAGCGAAAAGGTGAATAGTTTTTGTATATATTAAATAGAGAATAAATTTTTAAATGAATGAGAGAATTAAATTCTTTCATTTCTAATATAATATAAAAACCTCTCGTGATAAAAGAAAGGATTAAAAAAAACACAATTTTCAATATGAAGTCTTAAAGCATTAACACAGGATTCTGATGCTTTAGTTAGTTTGTTTGATTTTAATATGCCTTTGAAATTTTACTCCAACATTCATTTATGTACGTGAATTCTCAATAGTTGGTGATTGTCTCTGTGTGTGGGGTATACAATGCATTTAAAATTCAAAACAAACCTAATACTGTTTTCCAAAATATTCTTCTCAGTGTTATACACCTAATTTAATCATTACTTTTGAGGATAGGTCATACAATTGAAAGCAGATGCTGATAATTACGAACTTTTCTGCTTAGGTTGTTTAATTACAAATTAACAGCTAGCAAAAGACTTTCCTTTATATTTATGCACATGGTGATCATTTGTTTCGTTTTTTTTTTTTTTTTTTCTTCTCAAGTTTAGTTTACCTAATTCTTTACTTTTTATAGATTACAGATAAATATGCGTCCGAGTGTCCTTTTGTTGTAGACCTTTTGGCACGAATAAATATTTTTTAAAATATTAATTGTTACCACTCATGCACAGTACTAAAGTCTTCATTTCCCTTATCCTCTCATGTATGAAACCTACCATTTTTCTTTTCTTTTGAAAGTATGTATGAAACCTTTCTAAGTATCTATTTGAGATGAAAAGAAACGGTGCGTTTGAAACTCGTTCTAAAATAATTTTATTTTTTATATAAAAATAGAAATGAAAACGTTTTCAATCTCAAACAGAAATCATATTTAAAAATGCATTTAGTAGTTTTATCAAGAGATTATTTTCAGTATATAAAAATTCATTAATGTCTCTCTATTCGAGAGAGGAGAAAACGGAAACAAAAAATGAAAAATGACTAAAAGTCGTTTTTCATTTCTCTTCCATTTTACACTAAATCAAAAAATCATTTTCATTTCCATTTTTTATCTTTAATTGTGACAAATGCCGTTTATCTCATATTTTCATTTTTTTTTTCTCAAAAAACGTGAAAAATAAAAACAAAAACAACTTCAAACATATCCAAAAGAACGGTAACTTGACTAATTATGCAGCTGAGGAATGTGGTGCTTTAACAATACTAAAGCCTCTTTAAACAATTATAAATTGAGGTGGCCAAAGGTGACGTCGTAGGTGCTTGACCTTAATGTCATCTCATATTTATAAAAAGTATAGTCTAAAATTTGAGTTTAATTTTTCCCTTCAATGTCTAGCCGAATAGTGTGTAGCAAAAAATTGAGTTGCCACCTTGATCCTACTATCATTTTCTGAGAAAAAAAAAAAAAAAAAAGTTCCCCGAACATGTTATACAGTTGCGATGTGCTACTCGAACTTTTAAATTTTAGAAATTTAACCCTTAAACTTATAAATTTGTAGCAAACCAGCCCAAGTGAAATCACTGTTGATTTTTTAATGGAAAGTGACATATGATTTACACATGGATCGTTAATTAAGAACATTTAAGGTATTTCTTTTTTTTTTTAATCAAAGTTAATCCAAAATTTTATTTACAAGAAAATTAACTCAAATTTTCTATTTTGATAAAACTTATCAAAGATCCTAACCTCAATTAACAATTAAGATCCGTGTACAAATCACATATCAATTTCCATAAAACCCATAAAACAGTTAACACCGTTATTAATTGATGGTGATCTGCTAAACATTTTGAAGTTGAGCAAATTTGCTAAAATTAAAAGTTAGATAACATTATAACTATGCGATATATTTAAGGGACAACGTATGATACAAAAATTGCATTTTTGGCGAAAAAGTTTTTGTTTTCTCACTCTCCAATCATGTTTAAGAAGAACGGCAGCCATTTAACCAATTACTCTTATTTTTCTCAAGTTTGTCAATGTCATTATCGTCATCTTGCCCATCCAGTTCCACCACGTAGTGCATGTCCTAATTTTAGAGGTAAAGATGGATTTATTTAATTTATGTTTTTATCTCCTCGTGCATTTTTCTTTCTGCTAAACCTGTGCTTTCAACTAATTTATTATGATTGAGCCGAAGCAGCCATTGTTTATTTCACATATGGTTGGATTTTGCACAAAACTTCACAAATCCAAGGCACAAAAGTCGGAATCTCTTTTTACCCAGAGCAATAATTGATATTGATTTGCCAATATGCTAGGCTGTAAGATTGCCCGAAAATGTTGGAGGAAAGTGATATATTGGGATTTGTCATATATTATATTTCATGGTACATTTTTCATCAAAATATATCGGGATTAATTTGAGTATAAAAAACACTCTCGAATGTAATACTATTGTGTCAAATTGATTATATACTATATTTTGTGATAAATTTACAACTAAATATAGCACATGACAATTTTGTCATTTAACTGTTATTAATTAATATGTTTATTTTTTTCATTTAATCATATATTTATCTTTTAAATTATTTTAAAATTAAAAGTAAAATAGCATATGACAATACTCAAATGTTAAAATTTAATATTGGAACAATAATTTAATGTTACATTAAAGATGGTTTTTTTTTTTTTTTTTTTTTTTTTTTTTTTTTTTTAAAAAATTTTTTTTTTTTTTTTTTTTTTTTTTTTTTTTTTTTTTTTAATTGTAGTGCTAATGCATTACATATCAACTAATTATTATTAAATGATAAAATTTGTCATCTGCTATATTTTATCAGAGAGGTACGAATATAGCCAAGAATTACGGCTATGACAGGTGGGTTCTCGAGTTGGATGCAACTAATATATTTCGTGCTATTCAATCCCCGGCTTCGCGAGCCATAGAATCCCCGATCACTGAGGATATCAAAGAGCTTATTTCATATGCGCATTGTGACGATGTCAACAATGTCTCCTGGATTGGGAATAGCATAGCCCACTGTTTGGCAAATTTTGCTATTTTTCAGACCTGTGATTTTGTGTGGTGTGATTTATGTCACAATATGTTGGCAAGTTTGTAAGTTCGGATTGCTTTGCTCTTCATCAATAAAAGTCATCCAATTTTCAGAAAAAGAAAAGAAAAAGAAAAAAGGAGCTTGTTTGACACGGGTCTGTCCGTAAAGTCATAGAAGACCCGTTTAATTCATACATTTAAACCAGTGATTTTTTATTTTAACATTTGAAATTTAAATTTTTTATGAGAGAAAAACACTGTAGTAAAATTAAAATTATGAGTTTAAACACATGAAACAAACGAGCTCAGAGTTTCAATTAGACGAAAAAAAAATTTCTTTCTATTATTTTTAATGCATTATTGATAAAATTTAGCTCTTTCAAAAAATATAATTCCAAAGACTAAAATATCTTTTATTTTCTTCTAGACAATTAATCCACTATAGCAACAATACTGGAATTCTGAGTCGCCTGCCAACAAGAGAAATACCGCACCATATATACACATAGAAATCTTTTGTTACTTCTTGTTTTGATAAACTTTTACACGTATTTGGATTTTTTCAATGAAAAGTTTCGGCGCGTAATTTTGCTTAGGTGAGAAAACACGTATATGATAACGTATGTTTCCAAACGTCATACATGTGAGATCATGTAAAGATATGCAAATTACATCATGAAGATCCGTATAATAATACAAAATCATACCACAAAATTACGTACTAAAACTTTTTTTGTGGTCATGATCATAGCTCCCGTTGATTTATGCAATCCGCAAAACTTAAACCAAACACTTCTTGCTCTATAAATAGTGGCTAACAAGTTGTGTTTTGGGACAAAACAAACAAGCACAGAAAGAAACCAAGTATACCTATACTAATACTACTAGAGAGAAAAATATGGAGCAAAACAAGTACTACAAAGGCCACATTGTAGTGGTACCATATCCATGCCAAGGCCATATCAACCCTCTCCTCCAATTCGCCAAGCGCTTGGCCTCCAAAGGTGTCAAGGCCACAATAGCCACCACCCGCTACACCGTCGGGTCGATATGCGCGGCCAATGTCGGCGTGGAGGCGATCTCCGACGGCTTCGACGAGGGAGGCTTCTCCGAGGCCAAGTCGGAGGAAGTGTTTCTCAAGTCATTTAAGGCCAATGGCTCAGCGACTTTGTCTCAAGTCATACTCAAGTTCCAAAACTCAGACTCTCCTGTGAACTGCATAGTTTATGACTCGTTCCTTCCTTGGGCTCTGGACGTCGCCAGGCAACATGGGATTTATGGCGCTGCCTTCTTCACCAACTCGGCCACCGTCAGCAGCATATTCTGCCGCATACACAACGGCACGCTTTCGCTGCCGCTCGAGGAGGAGAACATGCCGCTCTCATCGATCCCCGGCGTGCCGCCGCTCAATTTCCGTGACCTCCCGAGCTTTCTAAGGCTGCCGGAGAGTTACCCGGTTTACTTAGCCATGAAGCTGAGCCAGTTCTCTAACTTGGAAGAGGCTGACTGGGTGTTTGGCAACACTTTTGAAGAATTGGAACCCGGGGTATGATAGGAATTTTACTTTATATAATAATATCTAGATCTCCAATTATCACTAAATCTTATTTTAACCATTTATATGTATATTCACATTTTCTACTTTTAGTCATCTTCAGTAATGGTTAATCCTGATTTTTGAAAAGGACATTTGTATGTTGATTGTGTTTCACCTATAGTTAATTAACTAGTTAAAATTCAGTAATAAGTACTACTCTTGGAAAGTGACATTTATGTTCTTCAATTATTGTTAATTTTTAATGGATTGAAAAGTTATAGCGAAATATCACAGTAATATTTTTCAACTTTTATTTCCTTTATTTTTTTCTTTGAGGGGTATTTCCTTTATGTCTTAAGACATTAGATCAAATAAGAATATATATATATATATATATATATATATTAGTGTGTTTCTCTTGTTTTGCAATTTTTTTTTCTTTTTGATAAAGTTGTGATACACATGTTTCCAATACTTGAAGGTGGCCGAAGGACTATCGAAGCACTGGCCGGCGAAATTTATCGGTCCGATGGTCCCGTCGGCGTACTTGGACGGCCGGATCGAAGGAGACAAAGGGTACGGAGCAAGTCTATGGAAGCCACAGGGTGAAGAATGCATAAAATGGCTAGAAACGAAACTTCCAAAATCAGTAATATATGTTTCGTTTGGAAGCATGGTCTCTTTGACCGAAAAGCAAATTGTAGAAATTGCATGGGGCCTAAAGGAAAGTGGCAAGCATTTCCTTTGGGTGGTAAAAGAACACGAACGCCACAAACTCCCCAATGGGTTCCTTGAATCGGTGAAAGAAAAGGGTCTAATTGTCCCATGGTGCAACCAACTAGAAATGCTAGCACATGAAGCCATTGGCTGCTTTGTGACTCATTGTGGGTGGAATTCTACGCTTGAAGGGCTTAGCCTTGGGGTTCCAATGGTGGGGATTCCACAGTGGGCTGATCAATTGACTGATGCCAAATTTGTTGGCGAGATATGGCAAGTTGGGGTAAGGCCAAAAGAGGATGAGAAGTGGGTTGTGAGAAAAGAAGAGCTTATAGCATGTTTGGAAAGAGAAGCCAAAAGATCAAGAAGAATTCAATTTGGTGGAGAGAGAAGGCCAAGAAGGCAATTGCTGAAGGAGGCAGCTCTGACAAGAACATCAATGAGTTTGTGTGGGTTTTAATGAGTGATAAGAGGAAGAAGTTCATGAATGAAAACGGAACTCATTATTAGCTAGATATTTAGGTATAAAGAGATAGAGTAGATTGTGGTTTGTCCCTTTTGATGATTTGAGTATATTTAATCATGTTTGTTCTTCATGTACCTTAGTGAAGAGGTGGATTGTTGTTCCACCTATAACACAAGATGGCGGCTCAGTTGAGTTGTTTTTCATGTGTTTGTACGACGAATATTCTTAATGCTATGTTTCCTTTATCAAAGATGCAGCCTTTGACCTCAAGTAAATGTAACAAATTCTTCAACCCTTTATTATTTGTGAGACGTGGTACCGATGTACCTTAGACCTTTGTGTTGAATATGTCAGAAAATGACCCTTTTCTACAGCATGTTATTTGAAAATATTTCAAGTTTTCTTAAACTAAAAAAATAATTTATCTTGGTTTAAAAAAAACGATTAATTTCAAAAATTCTCCCATTACTATAATTCTTATAACACTTTGCCCCCTGAATTTTAAAAAATAACATCCGTTCCCCCCAAATATTGTTTCGTTAACAAGTTTTATCTTTATGTTACAATAAATGACGGAAATCGCCATTTGTTAGGTACATGACCCATTTAAAGAGAGTATTATTGTAAATTAACCTGCAACAATCCTAGATTATTAAAAAAATTCAAATGCGTTAAAAAAAAAAAAACCCATTTTAACTCAGCTATTCGAATTCCCCAATCGGAGACCAATCTCCCACAGATCAAAACTAAGATCTCCCACAGATCAAAACTAAGATCAAAACCGATATAAAAAACATAAATGATTCCAACAAAAAAAGATGAAAAAAAAAAAAAAAAACCTTGAATCCACCGTTTGTATTGGCAGCATAGGATATTTGTGATGTTGAATTTCTATCCTCCAAAGATATTGCATTAGCTGGACAAACCATTTGACAAGGCCTTGAGCAGTCAAGAGGACAATCCTCAAGATTAAATTCTGTTAAGAAAGCAGATCATAAACTCAGAACTCATTTTTTGTTCAATCTTATCCTAAGTTGGTTTTGGAAGAAAAAACAAGCTTGTTCTAAAGCTTATAACAAAATATTTGATGGAACATTCGTGACGATTTATTCGCGATGACTGTCATCGCTAATATATTTGCGACGACATTTCAAAACTCTGACGTCGTAAATATATTATTTGCGTCAGATTTTTTGCGACAATTAAGTTGCGATGACATGTCGTCGAAAATAAAATATTTGCAATGACATGGCGTCGCTGCAAATGACTTTTTTGTTGTTGTGAATCTCAAGACATACCAGCCTTGTGAAAATGAAGATCTTCATCATCATTAACACTGATCATGACCCAAGGCCTTGGAAGATGAAAAATCCCTGTGGCTGCTTCAATTCTCTCGTTCACCACACTCACAACTGATGCATCAGCAGCACAGTCTATGCAATCCAGTATTTCCAAACTCTCTCACTTACTCTATCTTAAACCCAAAACAAAACCAAATATATATATATATATATATATAATTTTCTCTCACCTCCAGCAAGAGTGTAAACAAGAGAGAAATTTCTGATAATGTCGCAAATGTCGAAAACTTCTGTTTGGGAAAATGTCAAAAATGAAAAGAGAAAATAATTATATATAATTTCAAAAATGGAGAATTATCTGATGAGGAGTGTATAAGCATAATTGCGCTTTCCGTCACTCATTGTAACATAAGGATGAAACTTGTTTACGGACTAAAATTCAAAGAGAACGGGTGATACTTTTTAAAATTTAGAGGGTAACGAGTTAAAAAGGTCATAGATCAGGAGAAATTTTTAAAATTAATCCTTTAAAAAAATAAGGTCAATAAGTAAAAAACCACTGAGTTTTTAATCGATCACGAACTAATCAATATCAATAACAATTCAACCAATATAAATTATTGATCACTAATTGACAAAATGACTGACGCATTGATCATTAACGTTTGGAAGGGGGATTCGTGTCATAATTCGAATCATGTTTCATGGTTCGCTACAGTATTTTCTCTCACAACAAACACACGTAAAACGAGAATGATTTTGAATTACGGTTCTGAATCCATGAACTAAACGTCTCGTTTTCCTTTAAAAAAAAAAAAAAAGTTCTAATATTTTTTTCAAAAGAGATGGTTGAAACCGACTCCCTCACCAAATTTTCCTTGGTATTCACGAAACATTATAGCATAACATGCAATGCTAGGATTGCCCACAAAATGCTGAATCTGACATCCAAAAAGCAAAATTGGGTGATCAGCAATAGGCCTTTTCTACAGCAATAAACCGATGTACCTTAGGTCCTTGTTGAATATGTCTTCAGCAAGTTTTTTGAAAATATTTCAAGTTTTGTTAAACTAAAAAAATAATTTTTCTTCTTTTTTATAAAAAAAAAAAAGCCAATAAAAAAGAAACCATCACAAATTAATCAATATCAATAAGAGTTTAACCAACATAAATTATTAATCAATCACTAATTGACTGAGTGGCCGATGTCATTTAATGCTCACCGGCCATTTTCCTAAAAAAAAAAAAAAAAACGTGCTGATATTTTTTTAAAAGAGATGGTCGAAACCGAAACCCTCAACAAATTTTCTAGTATTCATATTATTAGCAAAACATGCAATGTTAGGATTGCCCACAGAATGCCGAAGCTGACAGCCGAACCATTAGCAACTGTGAGAATCCAGCTGCGGTAGTGCCGTAGTGGGGCCGGTATCAAGTTTGTGGAGCATATTTGTGCGTGGTACGAGCCTTAACCTGAGGTGGATAACAACCGAGAGAACAGAATTTTGTAGAGATTCTCTCTATTTATTTTCTAGAGTACTAGTGAAAAAACGCACACGGTAAAATAACGGTAGTATAAATTATCGAGAAAAAAAATAAAAGAAATAAAGACAAAAATTTGAAACAAAAGACAGGAGTAAAAAAGACAAACAAAATTTAAGAAAAAAACTTGTAATGTTTCACAATTAAAACTCAAATTTATGAGGGCACAAACAAAAGATGTTTATGTGAATAACACATTTAAGAATAAATTATTTTAACAAAATAATTAAGAAAAAATAATATATATATTTATGGGTGTTTTGTTGCCCACCAATGAGATATACTTGAAAATATATAAAAATTAAAGGTTAAAAAATACCATAAAAAAGATAAGGGAGGAAAAAGAAGAAAAGAAAAAGAAAAACTTAAAAACAAGATAAAAATAAAGTGGGGTGACAAAAGGTGGGCAACGAAACACCCACCCAAAAAAAACAAAAAACAAAAAACAATTTCTCACTTAGGTATTAGGAATAAATAAGTTTCGTAGATGGACTGCAACTTCTGAACCCCTGGTAGAGAAAAGATCAAAAGAAACGAGAGAAAAAGAGACAAACGCGGTTGCATTTCTACTTTTACTATTAATTAATATTTTTTTTAGTTAAATAATTATCCATTCATTTGTTTCATAAGTTTAAATTATTGTTCAAATCTTTTTACTATATTATTTTCTCTCATAAAATTTAAATTTATGTTTAAACCTTTATATTCAAATTTATGAACCAAATTGATAATATATTAGTTAAACAGTATTAATCAAGAGTAAAAAGTAAATGGGTAAATCTAACAATTTTCTCCCGAAATAAATAATTCCACAAACTGAACTTGGGCTGGACAAATAGTAAATCGACCTTTTTATACCATGAAAACAACATTACAAACAGTAATAAGGGACCCTAGTTGTTATGGAACACTTCTAAATATCATGGAGATCTTAAACATAGGCCGTGAAGCGAATGAAATGTATGGGCATGTTTACCCGTTTGTTTGCTAAAAAGTGCCATTGACGTCTAACTCGAACCCCACCAAAGAAATACAATAATGCATAAGTTGCACCACCTAAAATTGTTATTACCACAATTTTAGAAATTAAATCATGTATAGCCTATACGTCGAAAATTTTGCCTGTCTATTGCGGAGAAGGTGTAGCCACGATGAATGTGTGGGTCAAAATCAGTCTCTAGATGTGTAGCTATGAGATACGCGAACCCGGCGCAGATCAAAGACGATGTGTGAAGAGAGAGTGACTCGTAATCGGGGCCGTGTGAACAGATTATGATAGATGTGATCAAGATTTTAAAATCTCTAGATGCTTCTTTGCAGGTGAAGTTACTCGCAGCTTAATTAATATGAAAGAACACTTTCTTCAACAGTTGATGTATCTGCAGCCTTTCTGGAGCCTGCTAAAATTCAAAACGTTCAGTTAAACGTCAGTGGCAACTTATAATAGATCATCATACAAAATTCAAGTGGATAGGAAAATATTCCATTTAGTAGGTTGATGCAACTTATAGTTGATAAGAAAATTTTCCAGTGACACCGTCCACCCACATGGAAATTTTAGTCCAAGATATTAGGAATTCAAAGAGTTGAGCTTTACCTCTCTTCTTAAGTCTATTTCGGAAGCCTCTTTTCCTGCTAAATGCCGTCTCCTGTTCGCCAAAAATAAAAAATAAAAAAATAGTCGTTAATGAGGAGAAAATAAGAATCTTCAATCCAAAGACACATGGTCCGCCCTACAGCTTTTTTATTTTACTAATTTGTTTAATAGAAAAGCTTTTGGTTTGTATTAGTTGGACCACTGCTCATTTGTGTACCACATGGCACATAGATATAGATTCTCTTTCGGATACAAGTTAGTTTCTCCCTTCATATTGTTGCATACCAAAGTAGTGTCACCAGAAAACCAAAATAGAAACCTGAATGATCAATCTTCGTTTGAGTTGTAACCCGCGCTAAAGTTACGTGGATGAAGAAAATAAAAAAACGCTGAGATTTTAAGGGTAAAATTAACCAATGATAAGATTAGGAGAAAGAAGCATAACCAATAATGGTTCTACCTTCTGTTTGAGGGAGGGCAAAAAAAAGTGTATGCATATTAGATTTATGAGCTGTGAGAATTACCACAGACTGACCAAGCTCCCCTGCTTGACGGACAGCAGCAACCAGATCCCGATTAGACTCGGTATAGAAGCTAGTGACGAGTCCATATTGACCGGCTCTAGCTGTGCGACCAACCCTGTGCAAAAAGTCTACCGCAGAAGTAGCAAAATCTGCCTGGATAAATAAATCACTCCAAGAGTTTAGCTCATAGATTCATAAATCCTCTCAAAAAAGAGTTGAATAAGTGTTTTCCTACTCTGACATCAACATACAAGTATTTTGCTTTTCAGTTGTTATTATATGGTACTCCTATCCAGTTTAGCTCTCCAATGACTAAATATTTAAGCAAGAATATAACTATTTGACACAAATTAGACTGACCTGAATAACATGCAAGATATTAGGAATGTCAACACCACGGGCAGCAGCATCAGTACACACAAGAACACCACCTTTTTCTTGGAAATCATCTAATGTCTTTGCGCGTTCCTCCAAGGAAAAATCTTTATGGTAGCGGTAACATTCAATTCCAGCTCTCAACAGTATCTTTGCCACAGCTTCAACAGCCTCAACAGTGTTTGCAAACACAATTGTTCGGCCTAAATCCACTGAATTAGATCTAGAACCTCCATTTACAGCTTTAATTAGTTCATCCACTTGAGTATCAACTGAAACTTCTACCCATCTCTGCTTTAGTCTGAAGTAGAAAAGTGTCAACAACTTACCGCACATAAAAGTTAAAGACTTAAAAGTAACAACACCAACGGGGCAAAAAACAAAGTAACGGATTAATGTCTGCTTTAGATTAAATGATATCATTCTAAATAGCAGAAGTAGGAGGAGTTTAATCACAAAGCTCCAATTTGTCAAAAATTTATAACTATGTTATATCATGTATGTACTCACAAAGATTACTAATGCCGCAAGGATTTGAATTTCTAACTACTTTTCTTGATACTTTGATTAAGCTTTTTAAGGAAAACTATTTCACCATCTGTTTGTGATTAAACTAGATTTTTCTTTCTTTCTTTCTTCCTCCCTTTTTTCTTCTTTTGCTAAGAGATTAAACTAGGATTTAAAGTCCTTCAAAATAAATAAATAAAGTGCACCAATGAGTACCCGCTGTAAACACTAAGAAGCATACAACCAACTGTCGTTCATTATTTTTATGCTCACCCACCAATTATGTCCATGAAGTACCATAAACCATACACTCTCCCAGTGAAACACTTGGTTTGCTACAAAAATGTTTTTAGATCATGCACGTGATCGTGTGAAATTGTGACAACTGACAAAATAGGATGGCAGCTGACCAGCAAGAGGAAAGCTAACACTACTATTGGTTAACAATCAGCAAGCAAAAGTGTATAAACCTGGGGTTGTGACGATGCAGGTAGTTCCCACTAACCCAATTGGCATTTGGAAACATGTTTTTCAATACTCCACCGGCAGTTTTCTTTCCATTGAGAGGAAGAGTGGCTGCAACGAAAATGTACTGTTTACTACGTTCATAATCCTTCCTTGCTCTCCTCCAGTCTGTTCTTTTGGCAGGTCCAGTTTCAATATCCTCCCATACGTCATCAACAACACTCTCAAAACTTTCCTCCCCATCTGAGATGATTTCATCTTTTGAGTCTTCATCATCCTCTAAACTGAACTCTGATGAAGCTTCAAGTTCCACTTGTGTTTGCAACTCAGGTACAGATTCTTTTGACCAAGACAATTGTTTCTCATCATAGCGTAGCATGTGTATTAGACGAATGACTTTATTTTGGAAGCCCCCGCAGAGAAGCATGTCAGCTTCATCAAACACCTGAAATTACAATTTGTAGTACGTAAACTTATATGCTACACAGTTCTGCAACGAATATAACAGAATTGTCAATGTGAATAAAGCCAAAACAATCATTAAACCAAATGGGACCAAAACTTACCACAAATTTCACACCACGCAAAAACACCAGGCGACGACGTTTATTTGGCTCAATATTATTTAGCAGTGCAGCAGGTGTTGTCACTATTATATCGGGCTTGTTGACCGGCCACCCCTGCAGTCAAAGCAGAAAACCGTTTTCTGAGAATGAGAACCTTATCGTAGTATTTAAAAATTGTAGCAGAATCAAGAAACTCAATACAAAATTACCTGTCGTCCACAGACAGCTGCCGCTGTGAGAAGCGGTTGACCATCATCACCGCAAAGGACATTGGCCATGCGCACAACTTGCTCACACAATGTCACATTTGGACATAGAACAAGACAGAGCTTACGGGGCGCGGACACTCCTTGATCAGAAGCAACATTATCCGAATCATCTTGTGCATTGCACAGCCTATCAATTAGAGGGACAAGATAGCCATGTGTTTTACCACTTCCGGTTTCAGCAGCAACAACCGCATCCTTTCCGGAAAATATAGATGGTATACACGACGCCTAATTATCAACCAAAAGAAAATTCATTATTCCAATTATAACAACACTTGGCTTTGCTAAAATTCAAAAACTTTTCTTGGTTACACTTGATAAACTTTTTCAATTTTTCACTTTCGTAAACCAAAAAAACAAGAACATTATTTAAACAGAAGCTTCTCAGCAATCAAACAGGTGGTGGGCATAAATTCAGAGAAATGAAAAAACAGGATTTTGCTAGTTAAACTAAGAATACCTGAACCAGAGACGGCTGGCCAAAACCGGCATTGAAGAGAGCTCGAGAAAGCTTATCCGAAACGCCTAGGGATGTCCACGAAACGCTTTCCTCGGTGAAGAACGTGTCGCCTCCGGTTCCGTTCTTGACGGCGGTGGCAACCGCCAAACTAAATGGTCTGAATTGTCGGCTGCAAGGTTTGGATAGCAAAAACCAGCGGATTGGAATCGACGACGACAAAGAAGAAGAAGAAGGTGAAGGAGAATGGGAAAGAAATGAGTAGGAGTGTTTGAATTGGGAGAGGAATTTGGGCGGAAACGATGAAGGTGATAGCTTGTAGATATGGAGAACTGCGCTGGGGCGATAAAGGATCATTGTGCCGGGTTGCTTGTGTCGGAGGCTGAGTTTCGAATTTTTGGAGGTGGATAATGGGGTTTAAGGGGTTTAAGTTTAACCCATCAACTGATGAACCCTCGAGCTTTTGGAAGGGTGAAGATGCACAGGGTTTATGGTGGGGGTGATGATAGGGTTACACCAGGCTCACGAAGGATAATTTGACCCGTTCGTTTTGTTACGGTTAAAAAAAAAATTAAAATTTAATTTTTTTATTTATAATAATTTTTCTTATATAAATTCACTTTTTAAATATTTTTTCTTATATAAATTTACTTTTTAAGAGCATTTTTAAAGAAACTCTATAAATTTTAACTAAATTCTATCTAAAATAGCTACAAAACTATTTTAATTAACAACCTAATGAGTCACTCTAATCATAGTTTCTATTTTAGTTCAACATAAATTATTTTAATAGTTTTCTAAATTTAAAATATAAATACTTCTTTTAACTTTTACTTTATGATAAAATAATGAATAGAATAATAATAAAAACAAATAATTACACGTTTCTTACTAGCTATGTTTAGTTAGTAGAAAATACTTTAGCTAAAATAATTAACTATTTAATTAATAGTTGGAGTGGAGAAAAACTTAAAAAGGTAAAATTATTGACTATTTGATTAAAAATATAAAATAACTAACACGGTTAGAATTGCTCTAAGCTCTTAAGTGGAACGAGCGAAATGAACGAAGTCATCATTTTATTATTTTTAAAATAATTCTTTTAAACAAATTATTATCTTGTTTGTTTAAACCATTCAAACCATAGAATTCACTTCAAACCTTAGTTTAAGATTTAAATTGATGTTTGGTTGAGAATTTAAACTATTTACAATAGTTCAAACTCTGATTTTAGAATTTATCTCTCCCTAAATTGACACAATCAAAATTGCTTAAAAATATCATAACTTCTCCATTTCAATTCCAATTGAGATGATTTTCTTTTTTAATATGTTCATAATAAAGAGAAAAATAAATCTCCATTCATATTACATATCTTTTAATGTCATTTACAATGAGATTTTATAAGATTTGTTACAAAATTTTAAGGACGGTTTTCAACATTTTATCCAAACACAATTTAAATTTTATTTCCAATTCAAATTACAATTTATTTGCATATCTAAACACCGGTTTAAATCACAATTTAAATGAAATCACACAATCCGAAGAGCTAACCACACAAGGTCCGGTAATGTAGGGTTTTTTTTTTTATATCCGAAATTAAAGGACCCGCAGGAGCCAAATTAGCGGGAGAATTAATACCACGGATGACTAAAAGAGCATCACTCTCCATAAACTGAACTCTGAGACCACAATCTGCAGCAAACTGAAGGCCCTCCCTACCAGTAAGACCTTCTGTTAAAAAGGGGGAGAAAGAGCCAACCATCTATTTTGCCATAGCTACTACAACAGAGCCCCCATTGTCTCGTATCACAACACCTGTCCCGACACCGTCCAATCCAGCACAAACAGAAGCGTCAACGTTTGGTTTATAAATTCAGAATCATAATTTAAAATTATTCTTGATTTACGTGTGTTATTTTGTAAGAGAAAATACTATAACGAGCTACAAACCATAATCCGAACTATGACATAAATTCTTATTTCAAACGCACCAAGGTACCTACTGCGAAGCTTGTCAGGCAGGAGCAGTAGGTGAATGAACTTCACAGAAAGTGTTATTATAACTTTTTTCTTTTTACAAAAAATGAAAAAATGCATTCTTAAATTTGACCAAAAAAATTACACTCACACATCTTGATTTTTTTTGTTAAACTTTTAATTTTAGTATGAAAGCTTTAAATTTTAACAATCTTTTTATAATTGTTGTCTGATCAATAATCAATATTAATTACGCCACTTAAAGTCTCAAATGCTAATTTAAAAAGCTAGGTTTAGTTTGTTGATTAACGAAATGTTTTTGGTAAGTTTTGTGTAAATATTGTGGACATTTCGTTTATTTATTGACGTTACTTAGCTATTTGACTATAATCACAATAAATTGTTAAATTTAGTCATATTATCAAAATTAAATGTTTGAATTTTAAATTATCAAATACTGTTAAATCTAGGGTACATAATGTTAGTACAAACAAAATCCTACCTCAGTAATAAATGGGAGTTAGGATGTGTTTATAAGGGAGTTAGCTACTCTACTTAGTAGGTTAATCTTTTGAGTTGGAATCTTAATTTTTTATGGTGAAGTCAATGGTTTTAATAATTGGTATCAGAGCTGAGACCTTAATTTTTTATGGTGAAGTCAATGGTTTTAATAATTGGTATCAGAGCTGAGACACAAATATTGCAAAGTGTATGCCCGAGATGTATCTTTGATGCGCATGATGAAGGTGTGGGCCCCTGATTGCCATGGTAAAAAAATTCTATGAAAGCTCAAGGTGGACCTTCCATCCACAGTAACGCGGGCCAAAAGACACAGTGGAGACGTAAAGGTTTTTGTACAGACCATGAAACGCGGAGATATGCAATGGAGAGTGCAGGGTGATGGGATCTCCATGTAACACAATGGAAGTACGATGAAGAATTTAATGGATGGAATGAATTATCGTTCAAAGGGAGACTGTAGTATTTTGTTCGAAGGGGGAATTGTTAGAGGTGTGAACAAAGTCACACATTGACAACAAATGAGGGCTGAGAGCTAGGATGAGTTTATAAGAGAGTGAGCTATTCCATTCACTAGATTAACCATTTGAGTTAAAACCCAATTCCATATGGTGGAGTTTTTTTACATTTCTACCTTTGTTTTCCACATTTTCTGTGGTTGATCCTCTATTTGAGTTTTGAGATTCTATCATTTTTATAATCATTTTTCTCATTTTAAGTCTCGTGGTTCTATTCACACACCTTATTTTACTCTTTATGTCTCCTTCTAAATACACCCGGCCCATATTATTTTGAAATTATTAAATTTCTTTTCAAACACTCTTATTATTCCAAAATTACCTTTAATAAGATTATTAATTATTGATTAGTTCAATTTTCTTTTCACATGATCAATCATTTTATTTTAATTTGTTACTTTGATATTATTACACAAGCGATAACCGAAAGTACTCTTAATAACATTAACTAACCTATTTCTCCTTCCAACATCACAAGTTCACTGAATTAAGGCTTCTCTCAAACATACCCAGTGTTTTCTTAAAAGAAACTTTTAACATTTTGCAGAATTTTCTTGTTACCACAAATTGAAAATAAACAACAAGAATGAATGGCTGCAAGTTTAGTATTTTGGTGTTTTCTAGTACCATTAGTTTCACACACAATTGGACGTTTTACAATATGCTTGGAATCTAGCTAATTGCAAACAGTAGGCTATAGGGTTTTGTTACAGTTTTCAAAATAATAAGAGTTTGCAATTTAAGAGCATGGTATGTGATTAACGTTCAAAAGTGATATTCACAAGCGGTCAATTGTAGCACAGAAGGGCGGTCGTATCCACAGAGAGATAACAAAATAACAAGAAAGACTAATAGAATAAGAGCGTTAGAGAAAATTGAATTAAGGAAAAATGAGAGTTTTTGAGATTTTTGTTGCAAATAAAATAAAAAGGAGAAAAGATTTGTGTTGAAGAAAACGGTAAGGTGTCGAGAATCCCTAATGCTTCGTTCACCAATTTCAGTTTTGATTCACAAAATAAAAGAACTGAATAGATTAAATCTCTATGTTGACTCCAGAAATATTATTATTACAAGTTATCTAAAATCGACAATATATCAATATGACAATATTGCAGTAAAAGACAATTTGCAAAATAATTTGAATAACAAAACATTGCATGACAGAATTACATAAGAAAAGCGTGACTGAACTTATATAAAAATTGGCACACAATATTTTGAAAAGTAATAGAAAAATAGATGAGATTTAATTCATTCAGATGTTGAACTTTACAGCACAAGGAATCAAAACCCCGAATTGGGTCACTCAACAGAAGTTCATCTCTAACCTCACCAAGAAAACTCTAGCCTATCTTGCAAAACATTCTCACAAGTTCTAAAGAGAAAATATGAGACTGACAGCAAGACGACAGAAAATTGAATATTAAACAAAGCTC